TTTCGTCTTCCCCCCCACTTCCCATAGTTTCCCATGTTTTCCCAGGGATCGACGATGAATTGTGTCTGTGTGCTTTTTCCCATCCTGAAGGTGGGGCCGGAGGATCGCGCCGCATCACCAGTGCATCGCCGATGCGTCGGCCATGCACCGGCGACGCCGGCGTGGAGACCGTCGCGCTCCACATCGAGACGCATCGCCGATGCACTGGCGATGCGGCGCGATCCTTCGGCCCCATCTGTTTTTACAGGACTTGGGAGGCCTGGATATCACCCCCAGTCCCAGACGCCCGACGCCATGATTGTCTCAAAATGCAGAATGTCGCCCCCAGTCGCTAAATCGACGAACATCGACGCTAACCGACGCTAGATCGGCGCTATCTCATCGACTTCCAGACGCTAATCGACGCTAATGGCGGCGCGCAGAGGGAGGTAGGGGGAGGGGGGAAGACTTCTTAGAAGGAGGCTGCTTCTTAAAAGGTGCGGGCCTTGTCCGTAGATGTAAGGCCCACGCCTTCTAAGAAGCAGCCTCCTTCTAAGAAACCGTCTCCCCTCCCCCTACCCTCATGTCGGGCGTGTCCCCCTACAAGGGGATTTTCGACGAAAAATAAACAATACCCCAAAAATACCCCAAAAAGGTCAAACATACTCAAGAAAGAGCCCCCAGACTATTTTTGGACGTTTGTTTTATTACTTTTAGGGTATTTTCTATTTTTCGCCGAAAATCCCCCTGTAGGGGGACAGGCCCGACTTAACCCTACCCCCCTCTGCGCGCCGCCAACGACGGACGGAGTTGAGAGGGCATACCAGGCTCCCACGATTGGCTACCCGATGTCTGGGTCGGGAGGCCAAGATATTCACCGCAGGTCGGGCATGTCTCCGTACAGGTGGATTTTGGACGAAACAATTAAACAGTCCAAAAATGATCGACGACATCGTTCCCGGATTATTCTTGACTATTTTGGGATACTCCTCCGGTAGAGGGACAGGCCCGACTGGCAGATGTGGTCCGAGCAGATGGGATCGGAGGATCGCGCCGCATCGCCGATACATCGGCGATGCATCGGCGATGCATCGGCGATGCATCGGCAATGCACCAGCGATGCATCGTGGACGTCGGCGATGCATCGGCGACGTCGACGTGAAGCAACTCGGGCCCCACATCGGCGATGCAGCGGCGATGCAGCGGCGAGGCAACGCGATCCTCCCACCCCGCCTGCTCGCACCCCGTCTGGGAGGCCTGGATTGAGCAGGGACCGACCGTCCCGGCACTCCTATAGTCATACCACGAAATTTTCTTAGAACGCAAAAGTGTTCGAAAAATAAAAACAATGTTCCTAGAACATAAACCCAATGGTGAAAACAAGACAGTCCCAGCCAGAAATGCTCTAAGAACATGTCGCGGAAACAACAGGAAAGTACTTAGAACAGTGTTCGGTGGGGCTATGGGCGAGCCCGGACGCTTCGCCACTGCCTGAAATGGAGGCGCTCGCCAGCCCGCCGCCGCCCCCGGGGGCAGCCCGCCTCGGGTCGGGCGAAAGAGGGGATAGCAAAGGGGGGGTTTGAGAATCAGCTCACGTAGCTGATTTTCCCAGCGCCTCCCGGCGCCGGAGGCGGCTATGTATCGAGGAATGGGCCCCTCGGTGGGGCCGAAACCAGCTGCATGCAGCAGATTTCGTAACCCCCCCTTTCCCAATCCCCCCCTCTCGTCCGGCCCGAGCCGAGGCCGGCGAGCAGGGCCGCAGCGTCGTGGCCGTTGCGGCGCGCGACGTCCGCGGCGGTCTGCCCCTGCCGGTTCGGGCGCGCCGCGTCGCCGGGCGCCAGGCGCCCCGCGAGCAGGGCGCAGGCCGCGCCGGGTGCGGAGGGGGGCCCAGCGGCAGGTCGGGCACGTCCTCGAACAGGCGGAGGTCGGAAGGAATTTCAAGACTGGCCAACAAAGAATCCCCCAAGATAACCCAAAATGGCAGAACAAAAATCGTCCCCAGGCCACGATTAACTAATTTTGAATACTCCTCCTGTACACGGTAGAAAAATCGTAGAAGACTCTGTTGAATACCCTCGAGCAACCGAAAATGGTAGAAGCATCGTCCCCTGATCATTTGCTTACTGTGTTTGAGCGTTCCTCCTGTAGAGAGGGACGCGCCCGACCCAGGCCCAGCGTGCGGCAGACGACCTCGCAGAGGGCGGCCGCCCAGCGTGCGCCCCGGCCAGCAACAAACCCCGAGCCACGCGACCCCGAGCCCGCCTCGTGCAGAGTGTACAGGGCAGTTTCTAATACACCAGATTTTTTGATATGATTTTCAACACACGATTCATGTTTGAATAAATTCGTTCATGAACTCATCGTTGGTTTTGATACTAAACCCCTGCATCTTTAATACATGATCCGCACGCGGAGCATGTATTAAAAACGGCACTGTATGAGCGCGACGCGGAGGAGGCTGCGGTGGCTGCTCTCGCCTCTGTCTCGTCTCCTCCAGGGCTGAACCTAAACGGTGTGTGTGTGTGTCGTGTTCCTTCTGTTGTCGTTGTCCCTCGCTGTTGCCTCGAATCCGCCTTTTGCCGCAGAACGAGGTCGAAACGAAAACGGCCCACGAAATCACCGAAAACACCGTTTAGGTCCAGCCCTGGTCTCCTCTTTCCTCGCCTTCCCCGCGAGGGGCAGCGATAGTAACAGGGCGAGTCTCAGTCCACCCTGCAAGAAGAAAAAACTACACAAAACTAGCCTGGCGAACGACCTAACCAGACGCAGTTGTGAATAACGTCGTTGTTCGTATCGCCTTCGGTGGATCTCCTTATGGAGCCACGAAGCGCGTGAAGAGTGTGCCGAGATGGTGCGGGGCCGCCTTGCGGGCGCTCCTACTGGGGCCTGATGTAGAGCCCCCTTTACGGGGCCACAAAACGTGTGAGGGGCGCCCCGAAAACGGCACGGCGCTTCCATGCGGACCCTGCCACTGGGGCCTTCGGTGGAGCTCGCCACGGGGACGCGAAACGCGTGAGAGGTGTGTCGAAATGGTTGCGGCGCCGCCATGTGGACCCTGCCACTGGGGCCTTCGGTGGAACTCCCTGTGGGCCAAGAACCGTGTAAGGGGTGCGCCAAGACTGGGCGGCGCCGCCATGCGGACACTGCCAATGGGGCCTTCGGTGGAGCTCCCTGTGGGACCACGAAGCGTATGAGGGGTGCGCCAAGATGGGGCGGCGCCGTCATGTGGACCCTGCCACTGGGGCCTTCGGTGGAGCTCCCTATGGGGCTACGAAGCGTGTGAGGGGTGCGCCAAGGTGGGGCGGCGCCGCCATGTGGACCCTGCCACTGGGGCCTTCGGTGAAGCTCCTTCTGGGGCCGCGAATCGTATGAGGGGTGCGCCAAGGGGGGGCGACGCCGCCATGTGGACCCTGCCGCTGGGGCCTTCGGCGAGATTCCGTATGAGGCAACGAACCGTGTGAGGGGAGTGCCAAGATAGGGCGACGCCGCCATATGGACCCTGCCGCTGGGGCCTTCGGTGGAGATCCCAATGGGGCCACGAAGCGTGTGAGGAGTGCGCCAAAAATGGGGCGGCGCCGCCATGCGGACCCTGCCACTGTGGGGCCACGAAGCGTGTGAGGGGTGCGCCAAAATGGTGCGGCGCCGCCATGTGGACCCTGCCACTGGGGCCTTCGGTGGAGCTTCCTATGGGGCCACGAAGCGTGTGAGGGGTGCGCCAAAGTGGGGCGGCGCCGCCATGTGGACCCTGATACTGGGGCCTTCGGTGGAGCTCCCCATGGGGCCACAATCCTCGTGAGGGGTGCCGAAATGGACTACGGAGAACAGAGGCACGACGTTGACGATGGCGATGTTGATGACGCCGATGATGGCGATGATGATCACGATGAAGATTACGATAATGATGGTGATGACGGCATGCGGAGAGGAGAGGCAGAGGCAGAGATGGAAGGAGGGAGGAGGGAGAAGGGGGCATCGGGAGGAGGACTGAACGCGGGGACCGTCTCGTCAAAACGAGGACCCAACACCACAGGATCGTTGGGAAATAAACTTTTGGCGCTCCGCGCGGATTTCTTGGTTGGGTTGGGGTGGTTTGGCGGGTGGTGATACAGAGGGGCAGGAGGGGAGGGCCGATTCTGAGCGGCTGTGGGCCGGGCGGCCCTGAGAATCCCACCAACCTGGCCTCCAGCACGCTTCGAGACTGGTCCATGGGCAACGGGGCCCCCCAGGAGCCCCGAGACTCAAGTCGGGCATGTCCCACTACAGCTGGCATACCCAAAAAATAAGACATAGCCAGAGGACAGATGTGTCTTGCATATATGTGTTGGCTGTGGTGGAGCATGGTTTGGCTGTGCTCTATTGCTCTTCCACAGTCCGCGTGCAGGAGGACGTGCCCGACCCGACCCGAGACGCCGCGCGCAGGACCACCGCGAGAAGCACCAGAACGGAGGGGCGCCGGGCCGCTCGCGCAGGGGCCGCCCCTGCGCCCGCCGAGGGCCCGGGGGCCCGAGGGCGCCCAGAGGCCCCCCCTGGCGCGGCGGTCTGCTTCACCCGCGTGAAGCCCTCCCGAGAGAGGCCCCCCGCCGCCTCGCGCCACACTTTTTTGATCCGCGGGTCGAGGGCGCACCTCTTCCGGTCGAAGCTGAGGCGGCCCGCGCGAAGCTTGAATCCCACCAGAGATTGGGGGAGGACGCCTCGAGAAACGCGGGCGGGGGGCGGGCCCCGGGAGCGGTTCCGGGGCCGACCTCGAACGGCGGCGGGGCGGGGCGCTCGGTGGCAACCTGTGGGAGCCGCCCACACCTTCTCGTCGCCTCCTGCGAGTCAGCGCTGATCGACGCTGAATCGACGCTGGATCGACGCTGAATCGATGCGAATCGGCGCTGAATCGGCGCTGCCTCATCGACGCCCAGACGCTCATCGACGCGAGTCGACGCTGAAGACCGAATCGCGAGGGTACACAAGGCTCCCGTGGTGTGCTGCCGAAAGGGCGGGGGGGGCCGCAGCTGGCCCACCCGGCCCCCCTCCGAGCTGTGGCCGTAGCCCGCGGCGAAGTGCAGCGCCGCGTTCCCCTGCGCGTCCGTGGCGCGAGGGTCCGCCCCCCGCTCCAGCAGCAGCGACGCCACCGCGGTGTGGCCGTACGCCACCGCGTAGGCCAGGGCCGTGAGGCCGCGCTCGGCGTCCTCAGGAGGAAGCCACTGGGAGGTCTTCGTCGGGCTGAGTAAGGGAGAACAAGCCCCACTGGGGGGGGGGCTACTACGCCTGATGTAGCCGCGGACTAAGCGGGATCAGGCTGGATCAGGCCGGATTGAGCGGGACTGAGCGGGAATTCACCGGATTCAGTCAGATTTCGGACCAGGGCAAAGTTTAGGTCGGGCATGTCCTCCTGCAGTCGAAGCTTGGACGACAAATAAGAGAGTATCCAAAAAATGCACCAACAGATTCAAGAAACAAAACGAGAAAAACAAAAACAACAAAAAAAAACTCCCCAGACATTAGTGTTACCATTATTGCGTATTCCTCCTGTGGATGGACACGCCCGACTGAAGGAAAAAAGTCCGAGCTTGGCCCTCCCAGGAGTTGCCGCCGCAGCGTCCGGCTCGTCCACCGCCGCGCCGGGCGCGTCCAGGGCGGCCGCCACGGCGCTCGCGAGGCCGCCGCGCGCGGCCTCGTGCCGGGCACGTCCCGCCGACAAGGCGGGTGTTGGCAGAAACCCAAAAGACAACATCAATCTCAAGGGGGCCAGGGGCACACAACTAAATACACACAAATATAAGAAGATTCCCCATATGTTTCCATCTGTTCTGGGTTTTCGTCTCCCCCCCCATTTCCGACATCTTCCCGCATTCTCCTGGGAGTCGAAGAGTAACTGTGTCTATGTGTTTTCCCCCCCTGTATCATGCAGATACTCACACATGAGCGAATCAGAATCGAAAAGAACCGTCCCCCGACTATCTATTCGGGCGATGGTAGAACTGGGATTAGTGGAACCTGGTTTAGTGATCTGTAACGGGGGCGCCCCCCCGTCCCATTTCCACTAACCGGAACTGCCGTCACCCGAAAAACACCAGCTACGGCAGACATGGTTTAGTGATTCTGGCCAATTCGAAGGCTCTGGGGCCCTACTACTAACCGGGTCCCCTTACCTGGGGTCCTGGCTATATCCGATAGATTGCGACTCTGGAAGTCTCCTCATCCTCCTCCTGTAGGGGGGACATGCCCGAGTCTCTGCGCGCAGCCTCGTGCAGCGGCAGGCCCGCCGCCGCCCAGACCTCGGCGGGCACGCCGCCCATCTTCTCGCTGAAGCGCCGCAGGACGCGCTCGTCGTCCAGGTGCCGCTGCATAGGGGGCCACATGCGAACCCTGCCCCTGCCCCCCACGACTTCTGGGGGGCAGGGTGGGGTTCACTTCGCTCGGGAGCTTCCGCACGAAGTGAACCCCACCCTCCCCCCCAGAACTCGTGGGGGGTAGGGGCAGGGTTCGCAGGTGGCCCCCTAGCTGCAGGGCGTGTGCCCCGTTGGCCCGGACGTCGGCGATCACGCGGGCGAGCTCCGGATCCTTGGCGGCCTCCACCAGCCCTCGCCTCCGCGAAGACGAAGAAGCGGCAGAAAAAGAAACTGTTGGCGCTCCGCGCGGCCGCGCGGATCTCTTGGAGCCACGCTGGGCCCCCCTCCCAGAGGGAGCCTCCGGCGCCGCCCCTGGCGCGCTCCGCGCGCCAAGGAGACGGGTCCAGCGCAGATACAAGAAATCCGCGCGGAGCAACAAACATTTATGTTTAAGCTTCTTCTTCTTCTTCTTCGAGCCTCAGCTCCTCCGGCCGCTGCTCGTAGTACTCGTGCAGCGCCTATGGAAGAACGAAACGATGCCGACATCGCCACTCCCTACAGACCTCTCCGGGGGTGCGCTCTGACCAGGGCTGCGGGGGAAGCCAGCCGTGGTGACGAGAGACGGGCAGCGGCAGTGGTACATATTCTCCCTCCGTGTCTGCAGAGGCCTCGTAGATGAGGTCCGAGTAGGTGGGGTCGTAGATGGGGTCGGAAGATGGCGAGGCATCGCCGGTGCATCGGCGACGTCGGCGCGGAGAGAATTGGGCTCCGCATCGAGCCTCATCGCCGATGTGTCGGCGATACGGAGCGATCCTTCGGCCCCACCTACTCCGACACCATCCTGGAGGCCCAGAGCCTGGTCGACCTGCCCGAAGCCCACGGCGCGGCCCCAGAGGTGCAGGACGCAGAGCACGGCCGCGGCGCAGCCCAGCCACAGGGCCAGCTCCCGCAGCGCCGAGCGGCCTGCGGTGCCTGGCTCCGGAGGAAGAAACAGTTACATGCACACAGGCTGTCGGAGCTCTGGGCGGACTTGTTGGATCTGAGCATCGTTTCACCGATGCCTATCCCTCCTGGCGTGGACTTGGTCCCGCTGGCCGGTTTTTAAACCTCATGGACGGGGATATATGCTGCTCCCCTCGCGTTTCGAAGGGCATGTCCATAACTGGGGGAGGTGGGACGGTTGGGCTAAGATGCCCGGGCCCGATGGGGACGGAGATGGGTTGCAGTAGGGGCTCGACCACAAGAAACCTTACACAAGAAACCCAACCCTGAGAACCCAGGAAGCCCATGGATTCTTGGTGTGGGAACGTCACGCTTCCCATAGCAAAACCATCGAAACCCAAGAAACCCAGGGCACCCTGGAGGCAAGCAAGGTTTTTCTTGGCATGGGTTTCCACGGTACGGGAAAGTTGGCACGAAGTCCAACAGCCAACGTTGTCCAAAACCCACAGCGGCCCCTGTTGGGCAGGCGACAATTCGCCTCGAATGGACATCGCCCGCGGCAACACCGACGACAAGCCCTGATCAACACGGAAAGGAGCTGCTCTTGTGATCAGCCATAAAAGGACCCCTAATCCTTTGGGAGGGGTCCTAAGTTAGGAGGGCCAAGAACACTTGGCATGGGTTCCCACTGTACACGATACCCAAAATTGGCGTTGGAGCCCCTCCCAGGCGCGCGGAGCGCGCCAGGGGCGGCACGGGAGGCGCCGCCACAGGGGGCCCAGCGCCGATCAAAGAAAGCCATGCAGAGCTCCGAAAGCTCACGCTTGACGACCGACGCCCGACGCCCGACGCCCGACGCCCGACGACGACGACGACGACGACGACGACGACGACGACGACGACGACGACGACGACCAACGACCAACGACGACCGACGATGACCAACGACGACAACGATGGGTGGCGCGCAACGGGGGGGAGTGGGAGAGGGGACAGAAACTTAGAAGAAGGCTGCTTCGTAGGAGGCGCCGGCCTTCCATCTGTGGAGAAGGCCCGCGCCTTCTAAGAAGCAGGGATGCCTCTGAGAAGCCCATCCCCCTCCCCCAACCCCCCTCAGCGCGTGGCCGAAGACGAGCGGCCTGCGGTGCCCAGGTCGGGGCGCAGCCGACCCTGCGCAGCCGTGGCATCGACCGACGACCGACGACCGACCGACGACGACGACGACGACGACGACGACGACGACGACGACGACGACGGACGACGGACGACCGACGACCGACGACCGACGACGACCGCCGCCGCCGACGACCGACGACCACGACCGATGACGACCGACGACGACGACGACGACGACGACGACGACGACGACGACGACGACGACGACACACGACCACGACCGACGACGACGACGACGTCGACGACGACGACGACGACGACGACGACGACGACGCCGACTTCGCCGACGACGACGGCGACGACGACGACCGACGACCGATCGACGACGACCGACGGCGACCGACGAGCGGCCTGCGGTGCCTGGCTCGGGGCGCGGCCGCCCCTGCGCAGCCGTGGCGTCCAGGGTCGGCCTCCGCCGCCGCGGCGCCCCCGCGTCGCCCCCGGCGGGGCGCATGCCGCGCGCGGCGCGGCCGCTGCCCTGAGCCACGGCGCGGCGCGGCGGGGCGGCGGCCCACGGCGCGACCCCCGCCCGCCGCGGGCCCGAGGCTGCCGCTGCCCTGAGCCCGAGCCCTGCGATGCGCTGCCTCCTCCTCCTCCGCCTCCGCCTCCTCCTCCTCCTCCTCCTCCTCCTCCTCCTCCTCTTCCGTTTTTACCTTAAACCAACCTTCGGATTCCCTGTGGCGTTCTGAAAGTGCAAAAACACAATCGAATGTACGGTTCGGCGAATGATGTGCCTGGCGGGCGCCGCGGAAAATGAACCATTAACGGTAAACACGATAATAGTGAAAAGAGTAGGCGCCCGCCAGGTACTCAAGGTCGGCACTAACTTTAGAAAATAAGAACCTCCAATACGCCATACAATGTTAAGCCCCCATTGTTTCGTGGTAGCGCCGCCTCGGAAGGCAAGGCGTAGTGAAGTGGAGACACAAAAAGGACGCATCGTAAGCGAGACTGGAAATAGCAGCCTTAGGGTTGCTGCCCAGGGCGTAAGGCTGACCCCAAGCCGAAGGTATTCCGTCCCAACCTCCCAACACCCTCCACATCAGCCATCCCGTCAATTGTTATGTATGTGCCATCTGGCGGCACTGCAATCAGACTGGAGTGAGAAAAAAGCTGGCTGTAGTAGTCTTCGAGCTGCTGCCCAAGATTTGGGTTGACCCCAATACGTGGCAAAACAGCAGTTGGTGGGACGCTGCCCAGGGTTTGGGTGTACCCCATACCGTGGTGGAGAGTAGACAAGATAGGAAAGATATGTTGGCATGGCAGGGCGGAGAGAGGATGAGTGTATAATACAAAAAGTACCTGTGTCAGCGTACGGTTCTTGGGTCGTCGCCAAGGGTTTTGCGGTTCACCCCAAGCCTCCGTGGTCCCAAAGTATATGTGCTGTTTGCCGATTGTTCTGGGTTAAGCACAAGCCCTCAGTGCACAAGAACTCTTGGGTTGGTCTGTAAAATACTGCGGCAAGCGTAGGCGCTGTATGCTGGCCTGTCCAGGCTGGCCTGTGTCTAATGGTGCGCCATGTTGGCACGTGGTAAGGCTGTATATGAGTACAGGCAAAGTGGCACAATAAGAAATATAGCCTGTGCAGATACAGATTTGGCGTGTGCACTGGGTAGGGAGATTGCCTGTATAGAACGTGCCCGTAGTCCTGCAGGTAACTCGATAAGTGGAGTCGCGCCCTTGGTGGGGACTCCACATGTGAATGCACGTAATACGGGTGAGGAAAAAAAAGGTAAAGAAAGAGGGCGTCCTGTGTGGCAGGGCCGTCCTTCTCCTCCGCCTGCCATCGGAGTCCTCCTCCTCTTCCTCCTCCTCCTCCTCCTCCTCCTCCTCCTCCTCCTCCTCCTCTCCTCTCCTCCCTCCTCCTCCTCCGCCTCCTCCTCCTCCTCCTCCTCCTCCTCCTCCTCCTCCTCCTCCTCCTCCTCCTCCGCCCCCTCCTCCGCTTCCGTTACGCAAAGGGGCCTTCTCGGAGGGGCATGAGGTGAGGGGTTCCTACGGAGGCGCCTTCTCGGAAGCTGGGATGGCTCCTGAAGAAGCCACCTGAGCGACGATCAACAGCGGGTCTTACGCGAGATGGCACAGCGACCTTCCGCCGCGGCTGACGCGGGCCGCCAGCGCGCCACGCCACATGGGAGACGAGGGCGCGTATGCGCGACCCCTTTCGCGGGCAGCGTGCGCGCGAACGTCGGAGCAATCGGCTCCGTTCTCTTCCGTCGCTCACACGTGCGCAGGCGAGCATGGGGGACAGAAGATCGGGGGGGACACGAAATCTTGTGAAGTCTGGCAGATGTCATGGCCTCGGCCACGAGATATCCCCCCAAAACTCCCCACCTCCCTCCCAGACACCCCAGGAGGCAGACGGGCCCTCGGCCCTGGGGGCTCTGCCTGGGAACGACGCCTCCACCCCGAGCCGCTCTCGGACGCCCCGTCGGCCTGGGAGCGGCCCGTCGGGCGTCCTCGTGTGGTGCCCCCGTCGGGGCACAAGAGGGGCACCGTTCCTCACCAGCCCCCCCCCCCCCCCTTCATCGCCCCCCCACTACTCGACGCCCGAGCCCGAGCCCAGGACAGCGCTCGAGCCCAGGACAGCGCTCGAGCCCCAGACGCCCGCGGAACACCACCCGTGCTCGGAGAGCGCCTTCAGATCTTTCGTTGCAGCGACGGTTGCAGGCCCCGGCCGCTCACCCCCTTCCCCCCCCCCGAGATTGCGTCAACCCGTCCAACAAGGACGCAGGATAAGGATGCAAGGGCCTTGGCGGGCTATGTCGACGCTTTGCGAGCGGGGCGCGGCCCGCGAAAGCGGCCAATGATGGGCCAAAGATGAAGGATGCAAGGGTGACCTTGGAAAGTCGCTCATCCGTACTATGCGGGTTGACTGTAACGTCACGTTTCGTGCTGCCCTCCGAGTTGTCTCTGGCTATTCCTAGGCACTCCCAGACTGCAACGGCGCGAAACGCGACGGTACGCGGACCTCCCCCCAGTGACGGTCATTCTTGCCCCGGGGTAAGAAAAACGCTCTCCTGGCGGCGCGCTCAAGAGGGTGTCGCGAGGGGGGCGGGCTTGGAAGAAGTTGGGGTGCTTCTTGGAAGGCGGGGGACGGCGGCCTCTGAGAAGGCCTCGTGGACGCCTCTGGGCGATTCTGACAAGGCCCCCGAAGCACCCCGCCTTCTTGCCAAGCCCTCCCCTCGCTCCACCCCACGGTGCCCGCCGCCAGCTTCCCGTCGTGGTGACTTCCTCCCTGGCCGACTCAGCGATCTACTGACCCAGGTCAATCCAGACCCGGGTCAGCCAGGCACTGCAGGATCCTGCAAGATCCTGCGGCATCCTGCACTCAGACCTGGGCCACTGCACCCCTGGCCCTGCAGGATCTCGCGAGATGCTGCAGGATCCCACCCTCTCACCGAACCCCCGCTTGCATCGACCCCCGCCTCTCTGAGCCCCGACGCGAGCAATTTGGACGCCCGAAATGGGTACGGAAAAAATGGGTACCATGCCCAACAACAAATGTTGTCCCAAGCCAACAGCGGCCGCTGTTGGGCAGGCGGCCTTCTGTCCCAGATGGGCACAGGCCGCAGCGGCGCGGACAGCGAGCCCTGTTCCAAATGAACGAGAACTGCTGTTGGGCTTTGTACCCATTCTTTCCGTACCCATGTCGGTCGTCCCGCCTCTCTTCGGCACGAACGGAATGGGTACGGAAAGAATGGGTACGATGCCCAACAGCAGTTCTTTTTCCTTTTGAACAGGACTCGCTGTCCACGCCGCCGCGGCCTGTGCCCATTCGAGACAGAAGCCCGCCTGCCCAACAGCGGCCGCTGTTGACTTGGGACACAATTTGTTGTTGGGCATTGTACCCATTCTTTCCGTACCCAATCTCGGGCGTCCAAATCTCTGAGCCCGACGCGAGCAGGGCGCGCCCCGGCCGGCTCCTGGAACTCGGGCCGGATGTGGGACTGGGAGAAGAAAATCTCGAACGGCGACAGCAGCCTGCGCAGGTCTCCGCGCGGCCGGGGGGGGCCCCAGCGTGGGTCGCGAAAGGAGGCCACCGCCACGGCCCAGAAGGAGGCCCCGCCTCCTCCTCCTCCTCCTCCTCCTCCTCCTCCTCCTCCTCCTCCTCCTCCTCCTTCTCCTTCTCCGCCTCCTCCTCCTCCTCCTCCTCCTCCTCCTCCTCCTCCTCCCCCTCCTCCTCCTCCTCCTCCTCCTCCTCCTCCTCCTCCTCCTCCTCCCCAGCCCCCACACGGCCCCACCGCGCGCCCCCTCGGGACACGTCGGCGGCGCGGACAAAGAGGGGCGGCCTCCCCGGAGAGGCGCGGTGCCGCGGAGCACGCGGAGGGGCCTTCTCGAAGGGGCATGAGGGGAGGGTTTCCTATGGTGGCGCCTTCTCGGAAGCTGGGATGGCTCCTGAAGAAGCCACCTGAGCGACGATCAACAACGGGTCTTACGCAAGATGGCATAGAGACCTTACGCCGCGGTGCAGCTTACGCGCCAATGTCGGCGCAGACGACCCCGTTGTCCTGCTTCGCCCACCGCCCTCTGAGAAGCTCCCCCGCTTTCGCGGAAGACCGCCGCATCGTGTTGGCGCGCAGCCGGGCGAGATGGCCAGCGCGGAGGCATCTAGATCGACGATCGAGGATCCAGGATCCAGGATTGAGGATCGATCATCGACCGAGGATCCAGAGAAGATAGGCGTTCAAGGTCTGAGGATCGAGGATCGAGGTTCGAGAGTCCAGATCCCAGGGTCGATCGAAGATCAAGGATCGAGGGTCGATCCAAGATCCAAGATCGAGGGCTCGTCGAAGATCGAGGATCGAGCAACCAGGATCGAGGTCCGATCGAAAATCGAGGGTCGGAAATCGAGGGTCGGTCGAGGATCGAGGACTGACCGAGAAGCAGGGACCGGGGAGAGTCCTCGCCGCCTTTCCTCGGGGGGAACGTTAGGGTTAAGTCGGCCTGTCCCCCTACAGGGGGATCTTCGACGAAAAATACCAAATACCCCAAAAATAATCAAAAAATAGTCTAGAAATAGTCTGGGGACTATTTTTTGCATATTTGTTTGACCTTTCTGGGGGTATTTGGGGGGGGATAATTTTTTCCGTCGTCGAAAATCCCCCTGTAGAGGGACAGGCCCGATTTTCAACGATAGGCCCCAGATGGCGAAGCCGCACGTTCCTGGGCGGTTCTGGGTGGGCTACAGTCGCGGCGTTGACCTAAGGAACCCTAAATCAGGAACGAGGCTCCTTTTTCCCGTGAGATAAACTTCGATTTCCCATCGAACCCCCAAGGAAAACCCAAGGCGAACTGCAAAACAATTAAGGAACACCGAGCCCCTCCCCAGCGAAAAGGGTTCCTTCCTCAGCGCCCCGACTGTAGGAGGCTCTTCTTTCGCCTGTCGGAAATCCGGGCCATTGCGGGTCGCTGCGTCCTCTCTGAGACCAGCCTCCCCTCCTCGTTGCCCCCATCGCTTGCGGGTCTCCATTTCGGCACCCCCGGAGAGCGCTCCCTGCGAGGCGCAGCCGTTCGGCTGCTCGAGAGCACCCCGAGACCGGAAAACGCCACCTGGAACCAACGAGAGCGTCCGAAAGCGTTGCCCATGATCGCACCCCAAACGTTGCCCCTGATTTCAAGTCGGGCCTGTCCCCCTACAGGGGGATTTTCGACCTAAAATGGAAAATACCCCCCCAAAAAAAAGTCAAAAATAATCAAAAAATTCTCTGGGGACTATTTTTTGAATATGTTTTGATCATTTGGGGGCATTTTGGGGGTATTTTTAATTTTTCGTCGAAAATCCCCCTGTAGGGGGACACGCCCGACATAACCCTGATTCCCTCCCAACGACATCAGTCCCATCCCCACCCAACGTTGCCACAAATGACACGCCGCCGCGTGGAGCCCATCCGCGTCCTGATTTGTAGAGCAACCACGCCTTCGGACGAAGACGAAGGAGTAACATCCCACCGAGCTCCCAACGGCGGCGTGCCATCGATCCTCTCAATTTTTCCCCTCCCCGCCTCCCAAGCCCAGACCCCCGACGTCGTGATTTTGTTCCCAACGTCGACCCCAGAGGTCTGGACCCCTTCCCGGGGCCGGTTTCTCATCCTGGGCCGTTTTTCGACAGTCCCGAGGCCCGGCGAGGGCCCCTGGAGGCCGAAAAGAACGAAGAACCTCCGGGCGTGATTTTTACACGACGCGAGGAGTCTGGGATGCTGTCTTCTCCCTCTCGGGGGCGCGCATACATGGATTAGCGATCCATGGATTTGGCGCGCGGTCGCCAAATCCATGGATCGGGGGAGGCGCCCTTCCAGAAATGCGGCAGGTGCCGCCTCGTTCGGCGGCGGAACTCTGCGGTGTCCCATGGAAACGGGACCCGTCTATTCCACGCACCCTGGATCCATGCCTGCCATCGCCTGACCCTCCCCCGCCGCCCCAGAGGTAGCCTCGGATCCCTCCGGCCCCCGCGCGCGGAAGCGCCCCCCCCCCCTCGCGAGCCTCCGGCGGCCGCCGTACTGCTCCTGTCGCGCGCCGGGGCGTGGTGGTGAGGGGGAGCGCCACCCTCCTCCTCGTCCTCCCCCTCCTCCTCCACCCCTCCTCTTCTCCTCCTCCTCCTCCTCCTCCTCCTCCTCCTCCTCCTCCTCCTCTCCTCCTCCTCCTCCTCTCCTCCTCCTCCTCCTCCTCCTCCTCCTCCTCCTCCTCCTCCTCCTCCTCCTCCTCCTCCTCCTCCTCCTCCTCCTCCTCCTCCTCCTCCTCCTCCTGTCTGCTCACCAAAGAAGAAAGCACCACCACGCTGGAGCAAAAAACAGAATCGCGCCCCGGAATCCAGACGGCGAGGTCTCGGATGTGGAGAATGTTTACCGCTCATGGAGCCCTGCGGAGGTGAGAGGCGTCGTGCTGCCAGTCGGCAGCGCGCCCAGGGGGAAGCCCAGACCCCCTCGCGTAGTGCCAAAAAGTCACAGCGGGAGGTGATTCGCTGTCTTCGGCCTCCGGGGACCCTGATCGCCCCTGGGACCGCCAACAAAAGACTCAGGATGAGAGACCGGTCCCAGGGAAGGGGTCCGGACCTCTTGGGTCGACGTTGGGAAAAAAATCACCACGTCGGGGGTCTGGGAAGGCTCCGAGGGCCCCTCTCAGAAGGGTCAGAAGGCTCAGTGGGGGGCGGACCCTCTCAGAAGGCTCAGGAGAGCCCCAGGCCTTCCGAGAAGCTGCCGCAGCCTGCTCTGAAGACAGAGGCGGCGTCTCAGAATGCCGGAGGGCTGCTGCCCCGACCTTCCAGGATGGCAAACAATAACAGCAGGACCTCGACATCTCCTGTCGGGGTCTTGGGCAGCCCAGATAGGTCTATAGATCTAGAGTTTGGGTCGGGCATGTGCCCCTACAGAGGGATCTTGGAAGAAAAAACTAGTCAAATAATGTCCACGCATTTTCACAAAAAGTAGTCGAAACATCGTCCCAGGAGTAGTTGTTTGAACATTCCTCCTGTAGAGGGACAGGCCCGACTAAAGTCCAGAGGGCTATGCTCTGGCACTCTGGAAGGCCAGCGTGAGGTGCCCCGCCGCCTCCCGAGAAGGCCCGCCCCCTCTGCGCTCCCCCCACGAGGGGTGAAAAAAACGACCCTACCCTGGGTTACACAAGTGCGTGGTCTGTAAACCTCCTGGGAACCCCCAAAGCCTAGAGCCGCCAGGGCGCGGCACATCACGCAGGGTTTACCCTGTCAGCCCACAGGAGCTTCAGCGCACAGCGCCTCGTAAACCAGGGTAGGGGCGTTTTTGTATGCCGCTCCCCCCAGGGGGGCGCGCCGCCGACATCAGGGACGCCGCCGAACGTGCCGCCGCTCGGCCGCCCCCTCCCCCGTGCACGTCTGCCCGGCCTCGCGCGCTCGCTCGTCGCGGGAGGATCCGGGGAGGCGCTCCCCGATGGGCCCCCGCAGAGGAGAAGCAGGGCAGGCACAGGCCACGTGCGAACCCTACCCCTACCCCCCCCCCACGATGTCGGAGGGGGGGTAGGGGTGCTCCCGAGCGAAGGGACCCCGCCCTCCCCCTCCGAAATCGTGGGGGGGTAGGGGTGCTCCCGAACGAAGCGAACCCCGTCCTCCCCCTCCGAAATCGTGGGGGGTGGGGGTGCTCCCGAGCGAAGGCGAACCCCGCCCTCCCCCTCCGAAATGGGGGGGGTAGGGGTGGGGTTCGCACGTGGCCCCCTAAGCAGGTACACGCCCGAGCGAGGCCAGGCGAAGAGGGCACGGAGGCTGGCGCCGCTCTGGCCACGGGCGATCCTCGGCCACGCGCGGGGCTCGGCCACGAGCGGCCCGGATTCCGAGGAGCGGCCCGAGAGCTCCCCGGGCCACACCGCCCGGGCCAGAGAGCTTTTTGTCCCCCCCAGCGTTGGCATGACATCGTGCATGAGTTCATCCCGCTCAACAACGAGGGCACCGCATTCGAGGCGCACCTGTTCGCCGAGACCGGCAAGCTCAGATGTGGCAACCTCCTCAGATGGGACACGCCCGGGCCAGAGAGCGCCTCGCCGAGCCACACGCGGGGGCTGCGCGGGCGGTGCGGCATGTTCGGGGGGGGGGGGGGGGCCTGTGCGGGAAGGGCGCCAAGCTTAAGTCGGGCGTGTCCCCCTACAGGGGGAATTTCGACGAAAAACAAAAGATACCCCAAAAATAATCAAAAAACAAAAATAGTCTGGGGACTATTTTTGTTGGTATTTGTTGACCTCTTTGGAGTATTTTGGGGGTATTTGTTGTTTTTCGTCGAAAATGACCCATAACGCCAAGCGTACACCTCCACGTCGGTCGGAGGAAGTGGGTAGGAGCACCAAGTGGGCAGGCGCTGGAAATGGATTGGGCTTCCGCCCGCCCCCCGGTGGATAAAGGAAGAGGAGAGGGCACTCGATGGGTGAAGCAGGAAGGCGCCTAGAGTGGATGGGGACCTGGGAATCAAGGCATGCCCACTTTCAAGGACCGACGAGTACATGGACACTAGGAAGGCTCATCCCAGGATCAAGATCGGTGCAGATGCCTTCCTGGTTTGGGCAAAGAGGCATACACACGGACCCTCGGTCAACGATCGGTGATGGTGATGCTGATGATAACGAGAATGGCGATGGTGACGGTGATGGTGGTGGGAGTGATGGCGACTATGATAATGACGATGACGTTGATGGTGGTGATGATGGTGACGAGGATGATGAGGAAAAGGGAAGGAAGAAAGGAAGGAAGGAAGGGAGGCTGAGGAGGGAACGAAAGGACAGGGAAGGAAGAAAGCAAGGAGGATGAGGAGGAGGGGGAGGAGAGGGCGGGGGAGGAGGACGCAGAGTCCAGTCCACGGGGGACCAGGGACGGGCGCACGCGGCGCCGGCGGCGCGCGGCGGGGGGCAGGCGCACGTCTTCGGCGGCGAAGAGCTCCTGACCCTCCCCCGCTCGAGGCCCTGGGCCCCACGGGCCCAGCCCGCTCCGCCACCGCTGCGCCTCCATCCTCCTCCGCCACCCCTGTCCTCCGGCACCCTCCTCCTCTGAAGAATGAAAAAGCAGCAGAGGAGGAGGAGGAGGAGGAGGAGGAGGAGGAGGAGGAGGAGGAGGAGGAGGTTCCCCTGGCTGCTCGAAAAGCAGGCTCCTCCACCGCCGTCTTCAATCGCCGTGCTCCAGCCGCACCCATCCTCTCCCTGCGTCCCCCGCCCGACCTCCTGCTCCAGCTCCCCTGGCTGCTCATCCAGGCCCCCATCTGCCCCATGCCCCTCATCCTCGTCGCCTCTCGTCCTCCATTTCCTCCTCCCCCTCCTCCTCATCCTCCTCATCCTCATCCTCCTCCCCTATATATCCTACTCTTCGCCTCCTCCTCCTCCTCCTCCTCCTCCTCCTTCTCCTCCCCTTCATGTTCCTCCCACTTCTCCTCCTCCTCCACCTCCTCTTCCTCCTGCTCCTCCTTCTCCTCCTCCTCCTCCTCCTCTTCCTCCTCCTTCGCCTCCTCCTCCTCCTCCTCCTCCTCCTCCTCCTCCTCCTCCTCCTCCTCCTCATGGTCCTCCTCCTTCGCCTCCTCCTCCTCCTGCAGTCCTGCATTCCGGACAACCTGCCTCAGCATAAGTGCTGGGCGGTAGAAGAATTGACCGAGAACCAGGCGGCACCAGCAACTTCCACTCACCCTAAAGGGATCGCTGGTAGGACGTTAACACGATGGCCGGAGGCAACAGCACGTGTGGCCTGACATATCCAAGCAAGCAGCCCAAACGCAAGCCGAGAGAATGAACCGATGTGCCCGAACCCGTGTATCGCCCCTATCGATAGTTGATTGCCTATGTTGCGAGGGCTTCACACGAGGGCAGCCAGGCGTCCGAAGGAGTTGATCGGCAGGTGGACATCCAAAAACTCCGCGAAGCCACGGAAGCTCCAAATGGGTGCTGTGCCAGGAACAGGTCTGACGTTTGCAGGCGAGGGCCACACCTAATTAGCCTGCCGCCTTACTCGGCCACACGGCGAGCCAAAACGTCAGAGCTGACCACACCTTCTTCTTCGTCGGCGGCGAGGCAGATGAAGTCCGCTCCAGCGTGTGGCTATCCGGGGCAACCGAAAGCCGAACTGTCTGGTGTGCAATAGGGAGACCTGACCACACAAGCCGCACCACCACCGCCACCATCGCCACCACCACGTTCATCGTCGCCCGGTGGCGCATGCGGGCTGGCCCGCGGGTGTCCTCACCTCCGCATCTCTGGGTCACGATTCGGGCGTCACCCGGCCGCTGATCCCAGCCAGGAATCGGAGCCTCCGCTTCCGGTCCTGGTCTCTGGAGTCCCCCTCAGGAGAGGCGGGCCATCACAGGCAAGCGCCCGCGGGCCCGAAGAGAGAAGCCAAAGAGACGATCAGAAGCTCTGACCCTCGGCCCCACCTCCTGCCCACTGCCTATGACGAAGGGGCCCAGGGACACACAAAGAAGTACACACGAATCCCAGGATCCCTCATATGTTCCTACATTTTCTGGGTTTTCGTCTTCCCTCCCACTTCCCCGATTTTGTCATATTTTCCTGGGAATCGACGATAAACTGTGTCTGTGTGTGTGTTTCTTCCCCTCCCAATATGCATACCACTATTATATCGCGAGGCCTACGCCGACGCCCCTGGATTGCCGCGTCTCGGCGGCGACGCCTGGGGGGGGGGGAATGGGAAGATGCAGGCCTTCCCAGAAGGCTCGAAGTTCTCGGGCCTTCTTCGACACAGTCGGGGATCTTCTGACCCGGGTCAATCCAGACCCCGGTCAGCAAGAAACCAAAAACTGCAATGCAGGAAAACAACAAAAAACAAAAAAAAACTGCAACGCAGATCTTCGCAAACCTGGGTCAGCCAATATGCGCGGCCGCCTCGCGGCCACGAGCGGCTCGCTAACCCGGGTCAGCCAGAGGGGGTCTTCGCAGGATCCTGCAGGATCTGGTGCCCTGGCTGACCCCCGTTTGCATTGACCCCCGTCTCAAGGCTCCCGATACAGGCCTCCTCGATGGGGTCCGGGTAGATGGGGTCGGAGGATCGCACCGCAACGCCAATGCATCGCCAATGCGGCTCGATGTGGAGCCCGATTTGCTTCACGTCGACGTCGACGATGCATCGCTGGTGCATCGCCGACGACGAGGCAAAAAAACTGCTCACCATGACCAAGACTGAACGCGGAAACGCCGTTGCCGATCTCGGTCGTCGGCCACCTTAGCCATCGTCAATACACGGATCCTCCAGGCGAATCGGCGACGGCTGGCATTGGAATCGGATCGAATAGAGTCGGTCGTGCCCATAATGACCAGGAAACGCTGTCGCTGCCGCCGCGAACGTTGGCCGCTTGAGACCAGAAGCCGCCTGCCCGGCCGCGGCCGCTGTTGGCTCTGGGCGACATTCGCTGTTGGGCACCGTGCCAAAGCATTCCGTCACCACTCTCGTGCCGGGCGAAAGGGGGAGATAGCAAAGGGGGGGTTGGGAAATCAGCTCGCGTAGCTGATTTTCCCGGAATCGAGGAATGGGCCCGGCGGCGTGGCCGAAACCAGCTGCATGCAGCAGATTTCGTAGCCCCCCCTTTCCCTATCTCCCCCTTTCGTTCGGCCCGACACTCCGGGCGTCCAGAGAGACTTCCCCTGCACTGCCTGGCTTCGCGCGCGTCTTTTGTTGCGTGCTCCTGTGCTGCTCCACCTCACGCTGCACACCGCCCTCGGTGCCCGAGGCCGCCCGAGCGCACCGCTCCCCTGAAGGGGCCCTGGGACACACAAATAAATACACACAAATAACAGGATTCCCCATATTTTCTCATATTTTCTAAGTTTTCGTCTTCCCCCCCAATTCCCATATTTTCCCATATTTTCCTGGGAATCGACGATGAATTGTGTCTGTGTTTTTTCCCCTCCTGATCCCTCGCCGACCCTCGGCGGCCGGGCCCCTCTCCGCGGCCTCCTCTGCGCGGCCGCCCTCTCCTCTCTTCCGCCCGCGCCCGCGGCTCGCGCCCGGCGCGCGCCCCGCGGGAAGCGGCGCCCGCGCAGTCGCGAGCCGCCGGCGCTGCCGGGGAAACGGGTCTCTTCGGCCTCGGGAGGGTCCAAGACGTTCCTCGACCAAGCCTCGCCGACAGAGATAGGGGAACGGAAAGTCACATAAACAGACAGACTCGGAGGTCCGCGCGGATTTCTCGGATCGGCGCTGGACCCCCCTCCCTGGCGCGCGGAACGCGCCAGGGGCGGCGCCGGAGGCGCCGCTGGGGGGCCCCAGCGCCGATCCGAGAAATCTGCGCGCACCTCCGAGTTGTTATTTCCTCTAAGAAAACAACCCCCCCAAAAAAAAATGCTGGTGAAACAGGGTCTTTTTGGTCTCAAGAAGGCCCAAGATGTTCCTCGACCACGCCTCGCCGGCAGAGAGCAACAAAAAACAAATGCTCGCGCCCGAGCGGTGCCCGGGGGGTGGCCGCCCGGCCCCCCGCGCCCCGCCCGCAGCAGCGCGCCGGCGGCGCTGGCGCCCGCGGCCCCCGCGGGGGAGCCCGCAGGCGCCTCGCCTGCACGCGGGGGAGGGCGGCAAGCGCGGCGACGACGACGACGACGACGACGACGACGACGACGACGACGACGACGACGACGACGACGACGACGACAACGACACTGATGACGACGACGACGACGCCGACGACGGCGACGTCACTGATGACGCCGACGACGACGCCGACGACGACGACGACGACCACGACCACGCTGACGACGACGCTGACGACGACGCTGACGACGACGCCGACGACGACGCTGATGACGACGACGAAACGACGACGACGACGACGACGACCACGACGACGACGACGACGACCACGACCACGACCACGACCATGATCACGACCACGACCACGACCACGACCACGACCGTAACGACGACGCGACCAGAGAAAACAAGACGAGGGCAGCGGCGAGTCCCACCAGCTCTCTCGGTGCGAGCGGCTTCGGGAACGAACTCCTTCGAAACAGCCCGCTGTGTATCTCCTTTCGGGGAACGTGCTGCCCCTGCACTCTGCTCATAGACACCCCCCGCCCCACTCGAATGGCCGTCGACCACGTCCCATGCACCCCCCAATCCCAACCCGAAACATCCCCGCCAAAAGCCGGTGCACGGCGCATGTTGTCGCAAACGCTGGGCCACACGGCGGCACCCCACCGTCACCTCTTGTACGGACGTTCGTCACGCACGGCGCACGGTGAGGACGGGGCATCTTTTCTCCAGCGCGCGGGCCCACCGGATGCCAAAAAAACAACGCGAGTGGACAACGGGTGCACGCGCTTCTTCCTGTCCCCATGTCGACGGCACAGATCCGCGGTCATGTTCCACCTTGTCTTGCGTCCCCTACGCTAGGAACCAAAAAAAGACCCCACCACATCCAGCGCGAGGCGCCAACGAATGTCCTCCTGGGGCTCGTGGTGCAAAACAGCCCTGGTGGATTCGAAGGGTCTGTTTTTGAAGCCTGTCTGGCTCTCACTCTCTCCTTTGCTGTGGTATTAATGTTCGCTATATTTCTCTTTCTTTCGTTATCTCTCTCTCTCTCTCTTTCTCTTTCTCTCTCTCTCTCTCTCTCTCCCCTGTTCTTTATTGTTGATTTATGTTCTCTCTCGCTCTCTCGCTCCCTCTCTTTCTCTCTTTTTCTCTCTCTCTCTCTCTCTCTCTCTTTCCCAACATGTACATATACACACCCTGTAGCGCTACCAACACAATAGACTGGAAACTAACATACCAGGAACCCGTGTTGGAATACATGTCAAAGTTGGTGTCATGGGACCTCACGTTAGCCAACGTGGACCCCAAACAATGTCGATAGATTGTGCAATTTGCGTTGTGAAATCGACGCAGTGCAATTTATGGTGTGGTAGTATATGTATATATATATATATATATATATGTGTGTGTGTGTGCGTATGTCGCAACCTATGTGGTGCAAGGAACGTTGTATAATCGATGGTGCGCAATGAACGTATGTCCGCAATGACTTGTCAGACCCACACGCAACCTGGTTTGCAAAACCTATGCGGCGGCGATTGCGATGAGTGCGTGATGTTGGTTGGTGCATCGCTGCGGCCGCGCTAGCCCGCGCATGCTTGCGCGCGCCACAGCCGGCTAGCTTGGAACGACCGACGCGGCCGCGATGGCGCTGGCCGCTGGGCACATCCCAGCGGGCACTTCGCTGCGAGTCGGCGACCTTGGGCGGGCGTGGTACCGTGGCAACGTCGACAACGGCAGACACGATGATGATAGTAGCGGTGCTGGCGACGATGATGACAGCGGCGACAGCACAGCCAGTGACGGCGCCGATGCTGATCGCACCGACGACGATGATGGCGTCCTCGCGTCGGTGATGAAGGTTTTGCAGAGTAGTTCGAACTGCTCGCGCGGCCGACGCGCGAGAGCGGCCCGCATGGTATCATTGGAGGCGGATCGTGCCACCCCCCCGGCACGCGCGCAAGGGCGCTCGAATGATGTCGACCTGCGGCGCGAGTGGCCGGCCTGTTTGGCAGAATTACATGAACATGTTGAAAAACGCTGGTTTTCTTGAAGACTCGCAAAAGCGCGAGAGCAGGCTTGTTTAAAAACTGATGTATCCGGAACGCTCGTTTTTGAAATCCCTGCGAAACCCAAGGTTGTTCAAAAATTTTGGAATGCGCGCGCGACGACGCGCGCGAGTGCACCTCCCCCAATCTGTTGCAGGGGGTTATTGCGACAGCACGCGCGCAAGGGCGTTCGAACAATTTCGGCACGCGCGCGCGAAGCCCGCTTGGTGGAATTCTATGAACATATCAAAACCAATAATTTCCTGGAGAAATCGCAAAAGCGCGGGCGCAAGTTCTGTTTGCAAATCCTTGCTGCGATTCCATGTACTTCTATAGTTGTCGGGTCACTCTATTTTGAAATCCGCACGAAACCGAAAATGAGGTACTTGAAAAATGCCGGCATGCGCGCGCGACGAACCGCGAGTGTGCACTTCGCAATACAATTGAAAATTACATATATATATATATATATATATATATATATATGCTCAGGTCTAGCACTGAGATCTCCAAAGATGTTGTTTTTGCTCAAAGGATGCGAGTGCGAACTCAGAAATGCAGTGTCAGTTCAGCAGCGACGCCGAAAAGCTTCTCCTGCTCTCAAGAACAAATCGTCGTCTTGGTGCCAGTAGGCCCACTGTGAGCACCCCGAAAGCACCCGAAAGGCACTCGATGAGCACCCCGAGGGCACTCGAAAGGCAATCCGCACGACACTTTCCAAGCGTTCCCCAGGGCGCTCGGAAGTGGCTGCGCTTCCTCCTCCTCCGCCTCGTTCTTCTCTCTCCCATCCTCCTCCTCCCCCTCCTACTGATCTTCCTGCTCATCCTCCTGCTCCTTCTGATCCTCCTCCTGGGCCTCGAAAGACGCTGAATTCACAATATATTCCTGGTGTCTCCCTGTTGTCTCCCTGGTGTTTCCTTTTTTATGTTCTCTCCGACCCTGGAGAATATCCAATCAGCATCCTGAGGGCCCAAGGGCCCAAGGGAACAAAACAAAAGTCTGTTTCTTCCTTCTCTCTCCAATCCTCCCCCTCCCTCTTCTACTGATCCTCCTGCTCCTTCTGTTGCCTTTCCTGGGCCTCGGAGGACGTTGAACTCACGATATGTGTTGGGTGTCTCCCTAATGTCCCCCTGGTGTTTCCGTTTTTTGTTTTCCTTACGCCATGGAAGACCTCCAATAAGCATCCCGAGGGACAAAGGGGAAAAGAAGAGACAAAGGGGACAACAGGGGACAAAGGGGACAAACGAGACAAAGAGGACAAACTGGAACAAAGGGACAAAAAGCCACACAAAAACAAAACAATTGGACAAAATGACACAAAGGGGACAAAAGGGGACAGAAGGGGACACAAGGGACAGGAGAAACAAAAGGGGACAAAAGGGGACACAAGGGAACAAGAGGGGACAAAAGGGGATAAAAGGGGACAAGAGGGACAAAAGGGGACAAAGGGGACACAAGGAAACAAAAGGGGAGAAAGGGGATAAAAGGGGACAAAAGGAAACAACAGAGACAAAAGGGACAAAAAGGGACAAAGCGGACAAAAGGGGACAAAGGGGGCAAGGGAACAAAGGGGACAGACAGAGGGGGCAAAAAGGAACGAAGGGGACAAAGGGAGGCAAAAGGGGACAAAAGGAAACAAAAGGGACAGGAGGAACAACAGGGGACAACGGGGACACAAGGGAACAAAAGGGGACAAAAGGGCACAAAAGGGGACAAGAGGGACAAAAGGGGACAAAGGGGACACAAGGGGACAAAGGGGACAAAGGGGATAAAGGGGGACAAAACGAAACAACAGGGACAAAAGGGACAAAAAGGGACAAAGCGGACAAAAGGGGACAAAGGGGACAAAGAGGACAAAGGGGACAAAAAGGAACAAAGGGGACAAAAGGGAACAAAAGGGTGACAAAAGGAAACAAAAGGGGCAAGAGAGATACAATATGAGACAGGTACGAAAGAAAACAAAATCACATGAAAGGCACCCCTAAGGCACCCGCCAATCACTGGAAAGGCACTGGAAAGGCACCCGCAAATCGCCCGCACAAGATTTCTGGAACAAGCTATCGCCTCGAAAATTATTGCATGTGCTATTGAACTGCTCGACTACGAAACCAGCGCTTTGCTCCAAGCGACCCAAGATTTCATTGTCAAGGCACCCGGAAAGCACCCGAAAGGCACCCCAAAGACACCCCCAAATCGGTACTCCAATGTTTTATGAAACGCATACCCTCGAAAAGTGTTAAACGCAGCATTGAAACGTACATATCCGACAACGTGTTTTGCGCCAGGCGCCGCAAAATGTCATGTTTGTGTGCTCCACCCCCCGCAAAAATTGTCAAAACATATGCATAATTTCCTCCTTTTTCGCATCCTCAAGAAGCCCTCGTGGGCAGCGGTAAGCGCTAGCAATCCCCCCTTTTTTCAAAACCTTGGGCAAGCTCCTCTTGGCTCCCTTTGCAAGGCGCCCGAAAGGCACCCCAAAGGCACTCGCAAATCGCCCACGCAAAAATCCTGGAACAACATATCTCCTCGAAGAATACGACATGTGCTATTGAAATGTGCAACTAAGAAATCAACGCTTTGGTCAAAACGAGCCAATGATTGCATGGTCAAGGCTCCCGCAAAGCACCCGCAAGGCACCCGCTATGCACCCCAAAGGCAGCCGCAAATTGCCCACACCAAATTTCAAGAAACAACAAATCTTCCAAAAGTGTTGCATTTGCAATTGACATCTGAAATTGAGAAAACAACGCTTTGCTCCAAGCGACCCAAGATTTCATTGTCAAGGCACCCGGAAAGCACCCGAAAGGCACCCCAAAGACACCCCCAAATCGGCACTCCAATTTTTTTAGGAAACACATACCCTCGAAAAGTGCTAAACGTAGCGTTGAAACTTACATATACGACAACGATGTTTTGCGCCAGGCGCCCCAAAATGTCATGCTTGTGTGCTCCACCCCCCGCAGAAATTGTCACA